AGAAAGAGAGAGGAAAAAAGAGGGAGAAAGAGAAGAGAGAAAGGAGGATGGAGAAAGAGAAAGATAAAGAGAGGGGAAAGGGGGAGAGACTGAAACGGGGAGAAAGAGAAAGAGCTTGAGGGGGAGACAAAAAGAATGAAAGGAGCTCTGCATTAGCAGAGCCAAGACTGATTCCATTAAGACGGAGGCCTCCTCCTTGGTGGGCCGGATAAATGCCCTTGGCGGGCCGCATCTGTCCCCCGGGCTGTACTTTGAGGACCCCTGTTGTAAGCAGTTAAAAATAATGGAATTGGGTTGCAACACAAGTGAGGTCGGAAGGAACAGAAGAATTGGGTTGCAACACAAGTGAGGTCAGAAGGAACAGAAGGAGGAAGGAAAGGAAGAGGACTGAAAGAAGGAGGAGACGCAGATCCGGCGGTGCGGAGCGGCAAAGCGGCAAAGCACAATACAGAAAACGCAGGGGGAAGGACTGAAGTACAGAAGGGAGGTGAGAGGAAAGCAATGAAAAGAGAACCAATGGAAGCAACAGTAATTAAATAAGTAAATAAACAAACAAACAAATAGTATACATATATTAAATAATAATAAATAAATAATAATTAAATAATAATAATAAAAAATAAAAGAATAATAAAATAAAATAAAAAACAAAAATAAAATAAAATAAAATAGACAAACAGATACAGAAACAAAAGAAACGGAAAAACAAAAAAGGGAGGAGACAGAAGCCATCCATTAAGATCAAAGGAAAGCTCTGAATAGAGAGGAGCGGGCCATACTTCGCCTTTAAGGACATTAGACTACACGTAAGGTACCACCTTACCCACGAACTCCCTCCCCTTTGCCCCACCCCCCCCAAATCAGAAGAACAGAAAAATAAGGGAAAACTGGTAAAAGAAAGGAAAACTATTAGAACCAAAAGGGGATTTTGATCAAAGTATATGTAAAGTGAAGATATTTTGAATAATAGAGTGCCTAAACTACAAATAAATTGTTTTCAGAGAGAAACAAAGAACCCAATGGCTGCAACAACAAAGATGAAGAACGGAAAAGAAAGCATATTGCAAACACCAAAGAATGGCAAGGAAACAAAGGAAATGAAAGAGACAAATAAGGACAAAGACAAGGAATCTAAAGACAACAAAGAAGCTGCAACCACAACCAGCATAAGCAATATTAGCAACATTGGAAGGAGATTATCCCTGGGAGAAGACCTGAGAATGAAAGAATTGTTGAAAGAAATAAAGGCCATTGGAAAAGAACTAACAGAAATGAATGAGAAGCAAGATGCATATCAACAAATAGCTCAAGAACAGATGGCAGAACTGAAAAAGGAAATCAAGGAAGAATTAGGCTTGATGAGAAGAGAGGCAGAAATAATGAAGGAAGAGATAAAGCAACTGAAAGTGAAGAATGCTGAAAGAGAGGAGAAGCAAAACACAACACATACGAGGATGAAATCGTTGGAAATATTAAATCAAAAACTAACGGCTAGACAAGAAAACCTTGAGATGAGAGAAACAGAATACCAGCTTAGGCTAAGAAACATAAGAGAAGAGAAAGAAGAAGATATAAGAGAAAAAGCCACAGAGATCCTAGCAGAACTTCTACAATGCACAACACAATATATGGAGGAACAGATGGATAGAGTTTTCAGAATCAATACAAATTTTACAAGAAGGAATAAAACCGACCGGGATACGATAGTACAACTTACTAGGAAGGTTACAAGAGATGAGATACTAAAGGCCAGCAACGAAAGAGTGATATGCTACAAGGACAGAAGAGTAGTGATCTTGAAAGAATTCCCAGGTCAGGTAATCAGTAACAGGAGGAAATACGCCTTTCTTACTGAAGAGCTGAAGAAACAAAACATAAGATATCGATGGGAAAAGGATGAAGGATTGATGACTACCTACAAAGGACAGAGGTATTGGATTAAGACGGTGGAAAAGGCCAGACAATTCTATACAGGGATAGTCGGAGAAGAGGAGGAAAGGAAGGAAGATGAAGTAGGACACAAAGGGAAACAGACAATAAGACAACGCACAACATCACCGAAGAAGGAAGACCTAGACCCCAAAAACTACAGATTGAACTTGACAGGACCCAACCAGATAATGGAACCTATGATAGAAGAGACCCCGGGAAGCAGAGAAGAGTTAGAAGAAGAGGAAGAACCACAAGAAGAAAGAGAACCAGAAGAACAACAAGGAAAAGGAAGCAACTTCTGATATGAACACCAATCTAAAAATTTACTGTAATAATATTAATGGATTAAATTCTGCTAATAAAAGAAATAAAGTTTTTAATAATTTAAGAAAAAAGAATTGTTAAGTAATTGCCATACAAGAAACACATATAGCCCATAAACATATTTCCCATCTGGAAAACAAAAAATTAGGAAAAGCATATTATGCATCATCACCGGAAAAAAAAAGGGGGGGAGGTTAGTAACATATATTAAAGAAAACAGAACTAGCCTTCAAGGACCAAGATGGAAGAATGGTGGGGGTAAAAATTCTATGGCAAAACACCAGAATACTAATTTGCAATATATACGCCCCTAATGATGCAAAATCCAAGTTCGCTAAAACATTAGAGGCCAACATAGTAAAACAAGAATTCTACAAACTAATAATTTTGGGAGATTTTAACTGTGTGGTAGATGGGAAAAAAGACAGATCAATTAGAGAAAAACAAAGTGGAAAGGAGAAGAAAATACTAGGAAGTATGCCAAATACACTACTAAGAATATTTGAAGAGATGAAAATGGAGGATGTTTGGAGACATAAGAATGAAGCAGTCCAGGACTATACTTTTTTCTCGGCCAGGCACAAATCCTGGTCGAGGATTGACATGATTTGGGCCTCCATATCTCTCATCCCCAAGGTAAAAAAAATAAAAATACTTCCGAGACTAGATTCAGATCATTGCCCATTGGAGATGGAAATTAAAGAGGGAGATAAAAATTGGAGATGGAAACTAGATGAGAATTTGTTATTAAAGAAGAAGACAAAGGATAACAAAGATCACGAGAAGATAGAGAACTATAGACCGATATCTTTGTTAAACTTAGATTACAAAATATTTAGTAACATTCTTGCAGAAAGACTTAAAAAATTTCTATTGGATTGGGTCAAAGAGGAGCAAGCCGGGTTCCTGCCAGGAAGAAACCAAAGTGAAAATGTCAGAACAATAATTGATTTAATTGAATATTATGAAAAAAATATACAGAAAGAAGTGATGTTCTTAGCGATCGACGCGGAAAAAGCGTTCGATAATTTAAATTGGAATTTCTTTAAATTACTGTTCAAAGAAATGGATATGGGATTCTATCTACAAAATTCAATTGAGGCAATATACAAAACACAATATGCGAAAATAATAGTAAATGGCCAGGAAAGTAAGGGAACTGAAATAAGAAAGGGAACGAGACAGGGGTGCCCACTATCACCACTAATATTTATATTATCATTAGAAATACTATTAAATAACATAAGAGAAAATAATGAATTGAAAGGGGCAAGGATAAATGGACACTCGTACAAGTGCGAGCATTTGCTGATGACATAATTTGGATTATTGAGGAACCAAACAAAAGTTTAAACAAATGGATGGAGACAATTGAAGAGTTTGGAAAAGTGGCAGGATTTAAATTAAATCTGGAGAAGACAGAGGCAATAACGAAAAATATACCAAGGAAGAAGATAGAACAAATTAAAGAAAACAGTAAGATAAAAATCGTTTCCAAACTCAAATACCTGGGAATTATAATCACAGCAAAAAACTCACAACTCTTACAAAATAACTATATGAGGATTTGGAAAGAAATATAAAAGGATTTAGACAAGTGGAAGAATCTGAAAATATCACTATTAGGAAGAATATCTTGTATCAAGATGAATGTCTTACCAAGGATTTTGTTCCTCTTTCAAAATCTCCCAATAATCAGGAATCAAAAGGGTATAAAAGAATGGAACAAAGATATTAGAAAATTTATTTGGCTCAACAAGAAACCCAGGATAAATTATAAAAATTTAACGGATGAAAAAGAAAGAGGGGGGCTGGCACTACCAGACTTAGGCCTATACGCAGAAGTATGCGCATTGGCGTGGGCGACAGACTGGATTAAATTAAAGAAGGAAAAAATATTGAATTTAGAGGGTTTCGACCTGCGGAGGGGGTGGCATGCCTATATTGGGTATGAAAAAACAAAATTAGAAAAGAACTTTGGGAATCATTTCGTTAGAGCTGCGATCATTAAAACATGGGACAAATATAAAAAAAGGATGTATAACAAAACCCCAATATGGATCTCCCCACTGGAATCTTGTCAAAGAAAGGAATTAGGGTGGATCAATTGGCCAAATTACAAAGAATTGATAAAAGAGGAAAAGACAGAAATAACCCTGAGATCCATATCAGAACTAAAATAAATTACCCTAACATGACCTGGCTACAGTATAGACAGATACAGGAATTTTACAGGAAAGATAAAAAAAAATAGGATTTGAAATTAAAGGAAATATATGGGATAAGATCTGGGAAACAGAGAAAAAGAAAATATCCAAGATATACAGAGAACTATTAAGATGGAGTACTGAAGAAGAAGGAATAAAAGATTGTATGGTCAAGTGGGCCAAAAATATGGGCAGAACGATAGGGCTAGACGAATGGGAAATAATTTGGAAGAAAAAAATAAAATATTTTAAAGCATATGACATGCAAGAAAATTGGTCAAAAATATTTTTAGGTGGTATATGACACCCCACAAACTAAATAAATACTATAAAAATACTAACTCTAAATGTTGGAAGTGTGGTACAGTGGAGGGGACACTATACCACATGTGGTGGCAGTGCAAGAAAGCGAGATGCTACTGGAAGGAAATCCAAGATACATTACAAAAAATTCTGAAAATCAATATACCACTGAAACCAGAACTATTCCTATTGGGCATCACAAATATGAAGATGGATAAAAACACAGATAAACTGCTATTTCTCTCCACCACAGCCACCAGGATTTGCTTCGCAAAACTGTGGAGGAAGAAAGACATACCAAAAATTGAGGATTGGAAAAAAAATATTGGATGTTAGAAACATGGACAGTTTAAATTATTTAATACAAAGGAGTAAAGGAATAATGGAGATAGGAACAGACTGGACAAAATTTAAGGAATATTTAAAGATAAACAACTAGGAGTAAAAGAAACGAAGAACATATAGTGAGACTGGAACAGAACTCAATCTAGACAAAAAAATACTAGTCAAAATCAAGTTCAAATTTTACGAGACGAAGAGAGAAGGAGGAAAGAAAGAAAAGGAAGAGGCCACCCTTGACGAATCCTGGAAGTCACGCAGATGGAAAAAAAWGAARTTTRTTGAATCTTTTCTTTTTAATCTATACTTTACTTTCAACTCTGAGACTATCCTCTTTCACCTTACGGATAAAGGGGGACCTTACCCGTCCCCCTTTATCCGTAACCCTCGCCCAATTGCCCTTTGCCCCCCCCCCACTAGCCTATAAACRACACKCKCCCCCRACCTCGCTATCCCTCTATTCTTCTTTCCCCCATTTCTGTTTTTATGTGCTTTTTTTATTGATTGTGTATTATGAAAATGCTAATAAAGATATTTAATTAAAAAAATGGAATTGGGYTAGAACTGAAGGGGGCTTAAAAACCAGAAAGGAAATGAACCAAAACTAATCAAGTTAAAACATACACACATATACCCATAGTGTTGGAAATGATCCTCAGCACCACCCAAGGCTCCTCAATTCTGATAAACTCCAGGGTATTTGATGTATCAAATTGAGTGATGCCCAGGGCTAATTGTGTGTAAAGTCTGATTTCAACCTGCCCTCCACCCTATTAGATTCTGCCATGATGAAATCTCTAATTTTTAAAAGAGCAGAAAGGAAATGTGTAATGAACTCATACCTTTTCTTCGTAGGCCGCAGCCTGGAAGGCAGTGAGCTGGCCTCCATGTTGGGAAGGCAGCTCAGGATGGCTGACATGTTGGTATAGGCAGAGAGGCAAAGGGAGGAGTCAGCTAACTCCTGATTGGTTCAGACCCCAAGGGGAGGAGTTGAAGGAGAGTGTAAATAGGCTGTCATTTCTGACAGAAGGGAGAGAGAAGGATTTGATCTAGGGGAGATAAGGATTTGATCTAGGAGGAAAAAGATTAGGATTTCAGACAGGGAGAAGATAGTTTCTTAGTGAGCTAGGAATTAGACTGTTAGGGAATAATTTAAGAGCAAGTGCTTCTGTATAGTTTGACTATGGCAGTCAGAGTGAAGGCTTGTTTACTTGTATCAGAACAGAATAGAAGTGGGTTTATTTCCCTAAGGTTCAGAGTAGTCCAGGGGAAAACCTAGATGCTCTGGTAGGCAGCCCAGGGCGGCTGGTCAAAGAAACGCACTGTTACATATTACAGGATAGTGTGAGGAAAGTAGCTCAAGTTAAGGGAAAGTTACTCCTTCTGAAGAAACCATTTGCTTAATAAGTCTGTGCTTCAGAAACAAACTACGTGTATGTGCCTCTCAGTAGTCAGTTGTTTGCTTCAAATACTTCAATAAACCTGTTCTTTGTTGTTGTTGTTCATTCGTTCAGTTGTCTCCGACTCTTCGTGACCTCGTGGACCAGCCCACGCCAGAGCTCCCTGTCGGCCCTCACCACCCCCAACTCCTTCAAGGTCAGTCCAGTCACTTCAAGGATGCCATCCATCCATCTTGCCCTCGGTCGGCCCCTCTTCCTTTTACCTTCCACCTTCCCCAGCATAATTGTCTTCTCCAGGCTTTGCTGTCTCCTCATGATGTGGCCAAAGTACTTCAGCTTTGTCTCTAGTATCCTTCCCTCTGTTCTTTAGTTTACTGTTAATCTGCCTCAGCCTTGTTTCATCATATAAGTTTAGATCCAGTAAGCCTCCACATCTCTACAGTTCAGTCACCAGAAAGGGAGTCAAAAGGGAAGAGCCGGTGTATAGGAACATTTTACCTCAAGTACAACAACAGGACAATCCCCCAAACTGTAATTTGGGGTGGTGGCAGCAAACCTACCATTACACACACACCGTTCTCTCTCATCACCTGTAACACCCTCGTATATTCTTTTACAGTGTTGGCAGCGGTGGGATTGAAAAGAAAGGTTCTTCCCTGTCACGTGCAATAAGAGACCCTTATCTTCCTTTACAAAATGAAACAAGATTAATCAAGTTAAAACTTACACACATATACCCATAGTAATGGAAATGATTCTCAGCACCACCCAATTCTGATAAACTCCAGGGTGTTTAATGTATCAAACTGAGCGAGGCCCAAGGCCAATTATGTGTAAAATCTGATTTCAACCTGCCCTCCACCAAATCATAATCCAGCTCCTCTGGAGAATATTAAGTCTATATAGTGCTGGGATTGCAAAGTGTGGTCACTAAAAGTACCAAACTAGGATAGAAAACTGGCTCATGTATATACTTTCCATACAGTGCTGTTACAATAATATCTCTAGCAACAGAAAAAATGAAAAAAGTGTAGTCCACGGTCCTTGGATCTGTCATAGTTAATCATCCCTGGTCATTACCATGGGTAGATAATGAATGTCCAAGAGCAATGAGGAGAAAGAAAGAGAGAAAGAGAAAGAAAGGAAAAGAAGAAGGAAAGAAAGAAGAAAGAAAGAAAGAAGAGAAAGGAAAGAGAAAGAAGGAAAGAAAGAAAGGGAGAGAAGGAAGGGGGGAGAAAGAAGAGGAAGAGAAAGAAAGAAAGAGAAAGGGAAGAGAAGGAAGAAAGAAAGAAAGAAAGAAGAGAAAGGAAAGAAGGAAAGAGAAAGAAAGAAGAAAGAAGAAAGAAAGAAAGAATAAGAAAGAAAGAGAAAGAAAGGAAAGAAAGAAAGAGAAGGAAAGAAAGAAAGAAGAGAGAAGAAAGAAGAGAAAGAAAGAAAAGGAAAGGAAAGAAAGAAGAAAGGAGAAAGAAAGAAAGAAGAGAAAAGAAAGGAAAAGAAAGGAAAGAAAAGAAGAAAGAAAGAAAAGAAAAGGAAGAAAGAGGGAAAGAAAGAAGAAAAGAAAGAAAGAAAAAGAAAGAAAAGAGAGAAAGAAAGAAAAAAAAAGGAAAGGGGAGAAAAGAAAGAGAAAGAAGAAAGAGAAAGAAGGAGAAAAGAAAGAGAAAGGAAGAGGAAGAAAGGAAAGAAAGGAGAAGAGGGAGAGGAAAAGAAAGGGAGAAAGAAGGAGGAAAGAAAGAAAGAAGGGGAGAAATCATGATAAACGACCATTCATGGCCAAGTATGGTTGTCTTCTATAGATAGAGTACACCCAGACACTATAAAAATAAAACTAAGATGTGCTTCTCTCTTTGTCTGGTCTTTATTTACAAGCTTGAGATTCCCAGCAACTGAGGCTACTACAGGTTTTGAACAAAAACAGAATATTTATTTCTCAAAGTCCTTGCAGACTTGGCACAGCTTGTCAAAGTTACAAACAAAACAGTCAGTTGGTGAAACCATAGAGATGATTTTTCTTTCCTTTTCCTTCAGTTACTGACGTGCCTCCATCCAAGTGGTAGAAAAAATCCTGAGATCTTTTTACCCCAACCCTGAGCCACTATCTTCTAGAAAGCGTAGGCCTTCCCTATTCCAGCCCAAGGTTAGTTTTGGAGATGAAGCAAATAGTGCTCAATAACTATTTCTCAATAACTCAATATCTATCTATCTCAATTGCTCAATCACTATCTATAGTACCTCAATCGCTAAATTTATCTTTCTATCTATTTCTCAATCAGCTTCTCTATCACTCAATCTCAATCATTCTTACAATGGTTTTCTCAGAGTACCTGCCTGACTAACAGCACATCTGAAGCTTTCTTCTCTACGGAAGGAGGCAGGGAAGATGCCAAAATGGAGATCTCAAACCCTAGGAAAAAGGGTGATCTCTAAACCCAAAGAGATACTTTCCTAAACCAAGTCCTGCAGGTTGGCCTTGCAGACTGTTTAACTTCCAGGGTCCTGCTGGGTCTGTAGCAGCCCTGGGGAAATGCAAAGGAATGCTATCCCTTGCAGCTAAAAGGTAATGCAAACTATGCTCCTGGAAGACGGAACGCATAGAGTTTTTGTGATGGATAAGTCCATGCCCACCACCTATGGACCACTTTATAGCCAGGAACTACCAGATTTTACAGTCCAGTCATAACTTGTCAATCACCCTGGAACTTTGGTTGGTTTTGGTTTGTTTGAAAGAAGCCTGTGTGTAATGTTTTATGTGTGGGTATCGGTGCAAAGCGACCAATGAACAATCTTCACAAAAAGAGGATCTAATCCAATGGCATGGATACCATGAAGATAGGTGGCCTGTTATCTGTTGCAGCCTTCATCCACCTTCACAGCCATCGTAACATGCACCACATTATTAACTGGCTTTCTACCATTGAGTAACTCCTCAGACCAGTTTATTTAATACAGAAAACACAGTGTATTTGTGACTTGATGAATGCTACCCACTCACTTAATGGCCAGCAAAACAACAGGTGAAAGAAGTGGGCTCCCAACAGCTGCTGGACGAGACACAGTATAGGGATGAATACAGATAGGGTATCCCAAAACCCCTGCCTAGTTTATACTAGTTTGAAAGTTTACAAGTGAACCATGAGAAGGAGAGATTTCCACTTTCCCCTCAAATTACGTATGTTCTGTTTTGGTTTTTCCCTTATGCTTATAAAGAGTAAGGAAGTCCCACAGCAAGACTATAATCCATCCTTTAGACCTATAACCTCTTCTGTTTGATTTTGTTAATGGCATACCTGGACCCTACCTGTGCTTGTACACCTGTATCTGTGTGGCTTTGGCTGTGAGATAAGTCCCACCAATTAGCCATTTCCTATGATGAGGTTGGCTGGGGTGACAGGATGATAGGGGAGGTAAGGGAGGGGAGGAAAGGGGGGCATCCAAGTGACTCACTGGATTTGGCATCCTTAGGCAACCAGAACTCCCTTCCCCTTTGAAGGGGATACCTTTGTAACACATCGCTGGGCCAATCCAGTATACGCAACACCTGTTTGACTTGAGGGAATCTGCTTTCATGTAGCTTTGATCCATGTAACCAAAGTTAGGGATACTCCAAATCCTGGCCCAAGATTTGTAATATCTCCCAACTTTGGGTCCATGTCAACACTTGGGTCTGCCACCATACCATGTCTCCCCTCTTGTAGTAGGTCACCAAAGTGCCACCTGGAGAAGAAAGACCAGGGAGGCAGGCAGGGAATAAAAGGAACTCTATTGAAAATCATTCTTTGTTGACATCAACAGGGATTTATAAAATTTATAAAATTACATATAAAATCATATATAATGTAGCTGCCACCGGTGGCGCAGTGGGTTAAAGCGCTGAACTGCTGAGCTTTTTTTAAAAAAATTGTTTTATTGGGTCGTCCCCCCCCCCCCACTCCTACCTTCCCCTCCTTGTATATACAATTAAATATCAGTCTCAGTCTTAATTTTTCTACTCCACATCTTAGCACATTTTCTAAATAATTCCTAACTGGTTCCCACATCCTCTTAGTTATTGTGACCTTTTCAATTTTATCTATATTATTCCATTTACAATTTGTTATTTCCACATTTAACATATTAACTAGATAGTTATACCAATTAGTCAGTGTTCATTTTGTTTTATCCTTCCAACCCCTCACTAAAACAATTTGTACACATGCTATTAATTTGTCAACCATTTTTTCCTTTTGTATATTCTTCACTCCTGTTATCTGTGCATGTAGTACATTTCTATTTACCATTACTATTTGTAAATTTAACATTCTATTGATTTCCCCTTCAATCATTTTCCAGTATTCTTGCACTTGATCACATTCCCATATTATATGATTAAACACTCCTCTTTGTTCACAGTCATGTCAACACCTATCCTTTATCCCTGGTACAAAGCGTGAAAGTTGTGCGGTAGTTCTGCACCATTTTTGTAACATTTTCCTTCTTGCTTCCCTTAATACATTAAACTTTTCTTTTGCTATATTACTTATTTCCCTTTGGATGTCTTCCCTCTCAATTTCCATGTCCATTCTCCATGTTTGGAAAATTTCCTCTATTATTTCTTCTTTTACTGTTATGATTTGGTCGTACAGATCTCCTGCCACTTTCTTCTCCCCCCTCAAACATTTCCTAATCACCTTCTCAATTGGACTGTCCTGTTCTCTAATTTCTCCCCTCCGCCTAAAAATTTCCTGTCTTATAGCCCAGCTTTGAATCCAATTCCCTGACCCTATCCAATTCTGAATTTCTTTTTGTTCTACAGGGTTTCCATCCTCTGTATATAGATCCTCTGCTAACCTTTTCCCTCTACTTTCAATTAATCTCAGTGTTCTGCCTATAATTTCATCTGCCTATAATTTCATCATTATTATAATTCATTTGCCATATAGTTGCCATCTTATTCTCATTGCCTGGATTTAACTTCTTACTTTTTTCCACACTTTTACTGTTCCTTTAAAGGAGGGGTCCTCAAACTTTTTAAACAGAGGGCCAGGTCACAGTCCCTCAAACTGTTGGAGGGCCAGATTATAATTTGAAAAAAAATATGAATGAATTCCTATGCACACTGCGCATAGCTTATTTGTAATGCAAAAAACAATTAAAATAATACAATAATTAAAATGAAGAACAATTTTAATATATATTTATTTGTATTTCAATGGAAAGTGTGACCTTGCTTTTGGCTGATGAGATAGCATTGTTGTTGTTGTTTGCTTTCAAGTCGTTTCAGACTTAGGTTTACCCTGAGCAAGAGCCGGGTAAATGACCTTGGAGGGCTGCATCCGGCCCTCGGGCCTTAGTTTGAGAGCCCCTGTTTTAAAAGGTTCCTTACGTTCTATTTCCTCTCTCCTCTTCCATTCCCTAAATATTATTTCTTTTTCTTTAATATTATTTATTATCTTCTCCATATTTACCCATTATTTTTTTCGTATATTGTATTTCCAGCAATCTTTGGATTTGAAATGCATTGTGATAGACTTCTACACTTGGGATCCCCCAGCCTCCTTCTTCCTCTTTTGCATTTAACCATTTGTCCTTTATTCTGGGTCTTTTCCCTCCAATTGCCCATATTTTTATTCTTCTATCCCATATTTTTAACGTCTTGCTCTCTTACTGTATTTGGTAAGGTTTGAAATAAATATAATAATTTTGGTATTATGAACATTTTCAATGCCCTTATTCTGTCCACTCTTGTTAATGTTTTCCCTTCCCAGTCGTTTAAGTTGTTTAAGCTTAAGTTGACTTAGGGCATTTTATCCTAGCACTTAAGACCTGGCTTTTTACTAGAGCATTTGACCCATGTTAATTTTAATATTTGTATGTATGTGTTTTATCCTGTATAATTTATGCAATGTAAATAGCCTAGATCATCTCGGATGGAGGGCGATTAATAAGTAATTAAAGATGATGATGATGATGATTATTATTATTATGAAGTTGTTTCTCTATTATTTTCCATTTTTGTTTGTAATTCCCCTTAACTATACTCTTCGGATTTTTATATATCCATACTCCTAAATATTTTAGCTTCTTTGATCCTTATTTTAATCCTGATATTTTCCTAATCTCTAATTGTTCTTTTGATGGGGTGCTAAGACATAGTTCCTCTGACTTGTTAATGCTGACAAATAATCCTGATATATTCTTAAACTCTTCCAATTTTTTATCATATATTTTATCTATATAAATAAAAATGTAATGTTCGTTTGTGATATTCACAGAACTCAATAACCACTGGGTGAATTGACACCAAATTTGGACACGATACACCTAACAACCCAATTTATGTCCTCCACTCAAAAAAAKCCCCAAAGAAACAGCAGAAACCCCAAAAATCCACACAAGGGAYGAYCGGCCATTARAGCATTGGGAGCCAAGCATGTGCACATGCACGGCCATGCAAACAGAACTGGCACAGRGAGCYGCAACGAGCTCCCTCCCTCACCGTGGCAGGGAGCTTCCTCCCTCACGYCAGCATGACCCCTTCCTCTTCACCTTCCTCCTTGCCTGTTGTGCGACGGAGGAAAGGGAGAATGGAAGAAGGGAGGAAAGAAGGAAGGAAGCATGGGAAAGAGGGGAGAGCACGCCTTGCACAGCCTGGGGGATAGAGAGAGAGAGAGAGAGAGAGGCAACCTCCTCTCTTCCCTCCTCTTGGCTCTTCCCATTGCCTTTGCAAAGGTGGGCACTTCCAAGGCTTCCAGCCCCCACCAAGCTTCTGAGGCAGGAGAGAGACTGAAGGGGGACCCACATAGAGGAYGAAGAAGAGGAGGAGGCAAAAGCACAGGCAGCAGTAGCAGCGGACCCCAGYCCAGAGCCTGTCACACCCGTTTCCGTTGCAACTTGGTGGAGATGGTGAAGCCAAGCAAACCAGGGGGGAGCTGGGGGGGGGGCAGAGCCCGACCAATGAGGGGGGGTCTGCCCCTGTCAGGGAGGGAGGACAGTTGGGAAGGTAMCGTAGGATATCTATAGTCCCACAATTTGCACARGAAACAAAACATACAATAGCATATCCACACCCATATGTGTATGTGTGTGTGTTTGCATGCATTACATCTCCCCCCAAAGAAAGAAGGAGACAAAGAGTGAGGGAAGGTTGGCCACAGCAACGCATGGTGGGTACAGCTAGTCATAAATAACGGTTGATTTGTAATAATCATTGCATTATTGGCAAAGAGATTCAGCTTTATTTCTTCCTTTTTTCCTCCCTTCTTTTCTATTTTATACCCTGTCCACTTGGTGCTATTCCTAATACGTTCGGTTAGTATTTCTATTGCTATTACAAATAAAGTGGTTTAGCCAGTTCCTTCCTCACAAACACACAAAAAAACAACAACCTGGGATTCATTGGTAGATTCCCATCCAAGTGTAGTCAAGGTATATGCTGCTTAGCTTTCGAGAACATATTATGTTTTGCCATTAGACTATTTAGACCACTTTATTGAAGAATACGCTCCCTCTCACGCAAAACAAAAAACAAAAACAAAAAACAAAAACAAAAAAACAACAACCCAGAATTAAATTTGAGGTTTACAATCTTATAAACAAGCCATGAACAGGTTTGTTTATAAGACTGTTTATAAGATTACCACCTATATGCACTTTGTTTCTTCTTCCTCTTTATCCTATCTAATTTAACAAAGATCTTGTAAAAAAAACAAACAATAGAATTGGTATAGAAGGGCCTTGGATTCTACTATGATGAAATTTGCATTAAAAAAGGAAATAAAACAAAATTAATCAAGTAACACACACACATACACCAATACCCACAGTGTTGGAAATAATTCGCTGTCCCACCCAAGTTTCCCATTTCTGATAAATTGTGAATATTCTTCAGGGTGCTTTATGTACCAAATTGCATGAGGCCCAAGGTAAATTGTGAGAAATATCGGATTTCAACCTGCTCTCGCCCATATCATGATCCAGCCCCTCTTGGGAATACCAAGTTTGTATACTGCTGTTACTGTAAAGTGGAATTGCTAAAAGTATCAAACCAGGATAGAAAACTGGCTCGTATGTATGCTCTCTGTGCAATAGTTCTTCAGTAGAAAATGAAAAAATGATCTTTAAAATATTTTTAGAAATTCAAACCCATCTGTAAAAAGTGCACCCCAGGAACACTGTCATAAATCTGAACCTTGTCCTTAGTAGGCTTGTGCATAGATTCGCTATGGATGTTTGCCTTTGGCTTGTTCAGTTCTGAGAACTGGCATCCTCCCCCTCCTGATTTCGGGAACTTCCTGAAAATCAGAACGGGGGCCCAGCCAAAGATGGGACTGAAAACTGGACAGATTTTTCCCAAATTGAAGACCACTACCATTTTAGGTGACTCTGTGATACTCATGAGGCAGAGATACTTATTTTGTTATTATCTGCATTTTCGTATGTCCATGCAAAATCCATGAACATGACTGCTGTATGTCAGCCTGTTCAGCCAGTGATTGTGTCTGATATTCATGTTAAAGCTGATGTTCATGATGAGAATGGGGATGATGTCCCGGATGGTGGCTTTGAGGACAAGAGTTTGCTTGGACCTGAGTTAAGCTCAGACAAGAGGCCTGAGATGTTTCAGGAAGAGGAGGATTCCCAAGGCTGCATTCTTGGGAGGAGCCCTTCACAGCCTTTTTCAGAACAACTGTCTGAAGATAATTTGTCAGGTTCAGAAAATAATGGGAACTGAGAGA